TATATATCTCCTTTTGTTGTTGAAAATGTTAAATAGAACATATTTATAGCCTCTTTGACAAATCAGTTACCTTGCCCTTTAGGCTGACCAAATGAAATACCGATCAGAATGCTGCAAGCAATGCGCATGCACACGCAGAGACTAACACAGGGGAGTAGAATTTACTATATCAATGGAAAATAATCCGGATAATTTTAGGGTGGTAAAGAGAGAATGAATGTAGGCACTCTAAAGCCTCAATGGCTGTTCTCTGCTGCCACTACAGGAGCTGTCACATGCTTTTATAGCTCTCTGCCTCCTTAAGTTTAGCCCAACTCAAGTGCTCCTAAGCCTGGGTGAATCACTGTTGCCTTCTAACTTGTGTTAACCCCAAAGCTCAATTTGGTCACTCTTATGGAGGCTATATGTGGTGAGATTCTCTCAGATAGACTTCAGTCCTAGAGTTATGGTATATTACAGCCCCTAAGGGCCAACCTCTATGGCACAGGCCCTTTCTCTCCAAGTTCTGGCAGGATCCTGTCTGAGAAAGAACACCTAAAGGTGGCTTCCGACTGTGAGTTATACCTTTTCTACTGCCTTTTCCTTTATTATTACAGTGGGAGAATGATGGAGGTTTGTGGAATAAAGATACAAGAACTGAAAATTTTGCGAGCTGAAGCTATTTAATTTTAAGAGTCATGGACTTTGGCACAAAATATCAAAATAGGTTCCAGCACTGCCTCTACTCATTATAATTTAGTAGGGATTGTTAAGTATATTCAAAGAATCATTATGTACAAGATAGTATTTTTCAGTACATAAACCCAAAACAAAGCCAGATTGACACCGAAGGGTCTGAAATCTGAAATGTGATATTCTAGATTGGATAAGAAAAAACACCTATAATAATTTGGAGGGTTTTTTGGTAATTTTGAAAGTAAAAAGTAAAAATTTATTCTTAATTCTGATAATAATAGCCAAAATATATGTTCCAGATACTGTTCTAAGCACTGTTCATATTTTAAATTATTTATTTAAATTATATAAAAAATACGAAGTAAATACTATTATTATCTCCAAATACAGAGAAGGAAAATAAAGCACAAAGGGGATGAGTTTCCTGCCCAAGATCACACCGCTATTTGGGGATTCAAATCCAGACATTCTCACTAAATAGTCCATGCTTTTAACCAAAACTTTGTGGTCTCACAACATTTTATATGATATTTACTTTTTGTTATTTCTAATGTGATTTATTGTTTTCTTTTGTTTTTAAGTTCTGGGATACACGTCCTGAATGTGACATATGATGTTTTCCTTTATTCTATTGCAACTATTACTAAGCAACAAAATTTTATGTGTACAGTACATTACTGTTAATTACATATGCATTATTATAGAACAGTTCTCTAGAACTTTTTCATCTTATCTGAAACTTTATACTCATTGAAAAGCAACTTTTCATTTCTCTCTCCCTGCAACCTCTGACTACTTTCTGCTTCTATGAGTTTACTTTTTGTACCTTATTTAAGTGGAATCATGCAGAATTTGTACTCTGTGGCTGGCTTCATTTATCATAAAGTCCTCAAGGTTCATCTATGTTGTACCATATGACAAAATTTCCTTCTTTTATAAAATTGAATATTCCATAATATCTACATATATATATATCATTTTCTTTTATCGTATTTTTAATCGACAGATAATAGTATATATTTATCAGGTACAATGTAGTGTTTTGATATATGCATACATTGTGGAATGATCAAATTAGACAAATTAGCATATCTATTACCTCAAATATTTATCATTTCTTTGTGGTAAGAAATTGAAAATCCTCTCATTTAGTTGTTTTTAAAAATGTTATTATTAACTGTAGTCACCATGCTATGCAATAGATCGCCAGAATTTATTCCTCTTATCAAATTGGAAGTTTGTACCCTTTGACCAATGTTTTTCTTTTTTCTGTCTATCCCCATTCCTGACCAGTCTCTGGCAATCACCATTGTACTTTCTATTTCTATGAATTCAACATTTTTAGATTCTACATATAAGTGAGCTCATACTATACCATATTTTCTTTATTCATTTATCAATTAAAGGACATTTATGTTGTTTCTATCTATTGAATGATGTGAATAATGCAAATAATGCTACAATGAACATCCAAGTGCAAATAATCTCTTCAATATCCTATTTCCAATTCTTTTGGATAAATACTGAGAAGTGGTATTGCTACATCAGGTGGTAGTTCTATTTTTAATTTTTTGAGAAACCCCCATACTATTTTCTATAGTGGCTGTATCATCTTACATCCTGACCAACAGTGCTCATAAATTTCCATTTCTCCACATCCTCACCAAGATGTGTTATTTTCTGGTTTGGGTAATAGCCATCCTAACAAGTATAATGTGATATCTCATTGTGGTTTTATTTGCATTTCCCTGATGGTGAGCATCTTTTCATATACCTGTTGGCCATTTGTATGTCTTATTTGGAAAAATGTCTATTCAAGTCTTTTGCCTATTTTTTAATCAGGTTGTATTGGGGTTTTGTTTGTCTGTTTTGTGTGTTTGCTCATTGCTATTGAGTTATAGAAATTCCTTGTATGTTTTGGATATTAACTCCTTATCAAACATATGGTTTGTAAATATTTTCTCCCATTCTGTAGTTTTCCTTTTCACTCTGTTAATTGTTTTATTTGCTGCACAGAGGCTTTTTAGTTTGACATAGTCCCACTTGTCTATTTTTGCTTTTGTTGTGTGTGCTTTTGGTGTCATATCCAAGAAATCATTGTCAAAACTAATGAAGTATTTTTCCCATGTTTTCCTCTAGGGGTTTTATGGTTTGGGTGTTAAGTCTTTAATCAACTTTGAGTAGATTTTTATGTATAGTGTAAGATAAAGATCCAATTTTATTTTTTCAGTTTTCTAAATCCTTGCTTTTTAAATTATACCATTACTTTCTCATACAATAAAGGGATTTCAGAAGAAACAAAGGAAAATATATTATTGATTGTCTTATTGATTCAGTGAAAACATTATCGTAGAGCTGAACAAATTGATTCCTGATGATGAGTAGGGGTTACCTTCTTGAAAATAGTTTCCTGTATGGAAAATATTGTGGAAAGTGGTCTAGAATCTTCCTTAGAATGTGAACTTGTCTTCATTCTTTTGTTATTATAGTCAATATAACGGTCAGTAGAATGTTTGCAATCCAAGATGTTGCTGAAGCTCTCCTGTCAGGAACTGCCTTAGTGAAAACTAAAGGAATTCAAGGCCTTTCAGGGTCTCTCAGTTACTAGTGGAAGATAATTTACTTGTGACTAACAGGGAATTCCTGGGGCATTCTTAAAATAATGAGAATCCTTGA